AACGTAGAACTTGTACTAATATATATAGAAAACCAGGATATCTGCAATTTGCTTTCCTTTTACAAATAAAAAAATGTCTATGGGTAAGGGTAACCTTATGGGTGATTTTTTTTTAAATGTAACGGTTGTTAGCGAGGAATCCTTGCAAGTTACGTTGATTATCATATAGTTTTTATTGTCTACTCTGCAGACACTTATACTCAAGAAACGGTTTAAAAAACTGGCTCCTCAATGCACCATCAATACAAAAGGCATATAAAGCGATGCACCACTTGATTTCAACCGAAAAATTACAGAGGGGGCAACGTACAATAAATTTGAATATTTTCTCCACATACCCTTCAATAACCTCCATTCAAACGACTTTCGACTTTAAAGCAAAGGACGCACAGCTTGTTTCCTAAAACCTGTGGGAACTGGCGGTTATGGAAATATTGTCTTCAATAGCTTCGTCTCTAAAACAATTGTATGCATTTATTCAGACATATTCGCACATTTGATCGTATTATTATCATATTACCCTCAAAACTTAAAGATAATATTCATTAACTAGTGATTCGCTTCGGTTTCGCACGGGCGATTTCTGGATCCAATTGTATATCTAAACCATTCATAAATCAATTTAATCGTATACACAAAATTTCATCTAATTCGGTCCAACCTTTTAGGAGTTAAGTCACATACACACGGACAGAAGAATTATAATATTATAAATATATAAAACCTGCTTTATATTACACTTAAGGGGAAATATAATGTCAAATGGCTTAGCAAGATCCTTCGTTATGCCGAAAATATTGCAGCATTAATTTTGAAATAAATATACGGTAAAGTTGAGGATTAATGTTAATGATTATGTTAGACGAAAACACGATTTCGTAAAATTTTCTCGATAGAAAAAAAATCCAAAGTTACCTCCAAAATAAACAATAAACCGCTGTTATTCATAAAATACTTTAAATAAGATCATGAAACTTTGCATACTAACTGAACTAACTATAAAGCAGTGCTTATGTTATTTACTTTTTTTTAAAATACCATTATTTTCACTGTAAAAAGAAATTACCTAAACTATCGGCGTCTTGAGCTTGATTCCAGTCGCCCCGTTAGTATCGCTTAGGCTTTTGAAGGGAGAAGTTGTGTCGCTTACGATCAGAATATACATTACGCAACAGTACGACGTAAAATTAAAATGGGAACTAACCGTGATAAAAATAAGAAGCGGCTGGCTTGGCGTTAAGAAACAGGCATAAATATGATAAACCTAATGAAATAAGTGTCTAACGACCTTTCTAATTACAGTATTAGTGATTACAAACATATCGGTACATAGCATGCGACGCGCGGGGGAAGTGGGGGGCGAAATTAGATTTTGAGCTGACTTACTCTGTCCTCTTAAAAGTTATGCGGGAACTGAACTTTCAGAGGATTTTCTCTTCTGCCTAGAAACCTGTCTATGGTAGATCTCTAATTACTTCTGCCGCTAAGCGCCTTAGCGATTTTTTTTTATAGGATGGGGTGACAAACGAGCGCACAGTCCACCTGATGGTAAGTGGTTGCTGCGGCCTATACACACCTACATCTGTCGTCGATTAAAAATCAAAAAGCAGTTCCGTTGTGACCACTAAGATGTAATGCCTCGTTTCCAGTAAAAAGGGTCTCCGGTTCTCTACACTCACCACACGAAACACAGCAGCATTAAGCTGCTATTTCACCTTCCCCGGTCGAGCCGACCCATTCGTGCTATAACCATAATATAGCTGCAGCGTGGCATTTCTCAGACATGATATTTTGACGTGGTTATTCATAATACTTTGTCAGCAATACAGAACCAGAAACAGAAACTTTTTTATTCAACGTAGATTATAAACAATACTTATTGAAAGTCACTTTTTTCATTTACCACTGGTTCGTAAAAAAAACCTCTGTCCTGGGAAGAACCAGCAAGAAACCCAGCGGGACTATTTTTTTTTTCCAATAATAGCTTACAATCATGTTTACAATTAACAACACAAGACAAATTAGAAATAGCTTGGTAGCGATCACCCTTCCCAGGGGTTATTATCATCCATAAATTCCTTAATATTATAATAACTCTTTTTATACAAACTTAGTTTAATAATATTTTTGAACTTTGTGTATGACAAATTTTGTATATTTTCTTTTTTGTTGTAAAAGCGTATACATCGCCCCTAGAATTACTGACTCTGTGGAGTCGAGTAACTGGTAGCACCAGCTTGTGTTAGTTCCTAGTATTTACAGGATGAATATCATAACATTTTCATGAATGTATTGAGAGGCCAGAGTTAATATATTAATTTCCTTAAATTTATGTCTCAGTGACTCGTTTGGATTTAAATTATATATTGCTCTAATGGCCCTCTTCTGTAAAATAAGTATAATTTCAGTGTCAGTGTGTGATAGAAAAACTGTTCCTAGCAGCAGGACGTATATATATATATATATATATGAATAAAATTAGTTCGTCGAAAAAAACTATAAGACTACTTCAGGATTCATTACGGTTCGCTTAGTACTAACATTTGCTAATGTTTACAAACATTTATCGCCGTTTCCGGCTTTATCGGGGTGTCGTTGTCCTTCCGGTGCGGTTGTCTGGTTGGCATTTCAGTACATCTCCGTTGTAGAGATGGGAAATTATTAATCGATGTTAAAATTATAATTAAAGAAAGAGATATCAATTAGGTGATTATAAAAAAAATTGCCTTTTATATGCGATGAGGAATAGTGAAGTGCCGATACGTGGCGCGAGTAGGTATTTTAAAAATGCTTAAAAAACGCTGGAGGAAGTTTTTAAGACAAAAATATATTATTTAGATGCTAAGAACTTATATATTACGCAATATTTAAATTATATTATGTTTATGATGAACAAGTGGTAAAATTAACAACCAACTGTATATGTAAATTGTACAACCAACTTCAATATAAATAAAATGAGGACTTCAAATCAAGTTAGTCAAAGTCAATTAAATACGCACAGATCCTGGTCAAATTATATGGGACTACATGAGAACCACCAGATTTCAATTAAAAAGAGAAATCATCAAAATCGGTTCACCTAGAAAAAAGTTCCGAGGTACTTAACACATATAAAGAAAAACACAATCGAATTGAGAACCTCCGCTTTTTTTTGAAGTCGATTGAAAATCGTATTTGATAATATTAAAAAAGATACACTTTTAGTATCGTTTCAAACCTCTGATTACTCAATACATGTAAATAAAAAATGCACTATTATTTTTGTATAAAAAGTCGGTATCAGGTCATGTTTTGTTCTTAAACTTACACGTACATGCGCAAAGTCCCCTTGTCTGTCCGTACGGCTGTACCGTTAACTCGGCAAAAAAGCCCATGCGCTTTGATAAGGTCGAATGCAACGAGCGCCATTGTTGAAATACAAGGGTGGGCTATGAATGACCGAGACGGAGCGGGAACGTCTTGACTTTGTACTTTGTACTAGCAATGTCACGTTATACTCATACTGAAAAAATAAAAAAATCTAGAATCAAAAGAGCCTGGCAAAATATTTATGGATACAAGATAGATACAAGTTTAAAGAAAAAGAAATTCTTAAAAGTTTTGGGTAAAATGGAATTACGAACAAACAGACAGTCCAGACTTTTTTGAAATTAAAACTCAAAATTGTGTCGATTTGATCTTTTCCTCGATTTTGAGTCTTCATCACCATCTCTATCTTTATCACTGCGGTCATCTTAGGTTTTCTGCTGAACATTATCATCATCATAGCTATAGCCAATCACAAGTCCAGTGAAAAATTAGGTATCCCCTCTCCTATAGAGTGCTAGAAAAACACGGTTCTAAACCACCTACATTCATTTTACTCACTTCGAGATTCATCAGGTCGTTAGTAAGGTCATTTTAACTATAATATGTAAAATCTAACGACAATATCCGTTAAATCCATAACCGTTAAAAATAAATAATATATTATTCATGCAACCATTAAGACGCCCCATCCCCAAACATAGTTTAATTTACTGAATATTGATTATGCAACCGATTTACTTGAGTTGCTTTATGTATTGTTGATAATGAAAATGAGCATGATCTTGTAAATCACTTTGTTCGTCGTAACATCATTTATTTCATATCGGATGTATCGCAATGTTTTTTAGAGGTACATTAATTATTATGCGTAAGAAATGGTTATTTATTCGTATACTTAATTATTATAATAAAAACAGCTAAAGTTTTGGGTTGATTCAGATTTGGAATTAACAATATAATATTTTTAATAATGTGTGTTTGTGATTCTCAGTCCATGTTTGAACTATACAATTTCAGAACGCAAAGCCAAAGTAATATTTCTTCGGAATCTGATTTGACACTGACATTGACAAAGTCAGTCCAAAGCGCGCGAATTGTGCAGAAGACAGCTGATTCATACATTTTTAAAAGCTACCTGTGCTTTCCAAATAATTTCGTTTTATATTGAGTGGAATTTTTGGCCTTGCAAGGTGTTCAGCCTGGGGAGCAGCGAACACTCCACATGTTGTTTCTGAGCTGTTTTATATATAGCATGGTAGCTTTGGAGTTTTTGATAGTGTGATTTAGGTTGCAGTACTTTTTGCTTGTGGTATGACAACAACGCTGCCACCGTATTATAGAGTAACTGATTGCCCAGGGACACTAGATATATATTGGGGCTTAACACATTAGTATAGTACATATATAAATATTATAGTATGATATTAGTTATAAGGTATATTGTTATGAGTATTTATTTAATATGATGTGTGCAAGAAATAATGAAATGATAATGGATGGGCTGAATTCTGATGTCAGTAACAATGATGGTGGATTATTATTTTATATTTAAAATACCTAAACTAAATTTGTTATCAAGTTATTATTAACCTATTAAATGCTAAAACAATTTTGTTGAAAGCTCTTTATAAAAGTGGCATTTTTGCAGCATGTCCAACACAAATTCAAACATATTTTAATTGTTTCAGGTTAATAACAGAAAGCTTCAAGATTAACTCCGGGAACAGTGCTCAAAAACGGAAACAGACTGAAGCAATTTCAACAAATTACAAACTTAAAATGAACCCACATTCATTGGACTTCAACAGAAAACAGTCACCCTTGAGCTCACCTATTGCAACACCATCAAAACGACGTATACTAGGAGAGTTACAAAACTCGCCTCTCTTTAGACCGAAAAATTCACCAATAATCGAAAGATTCACATCCCCTGTGATTGAGCGACTTAAAAATTCACCATTAGAAAGAAGGAAGTCTCCATTGATTGATCGTAACAGCTTGTCGCCTTTAACTACTCGTTCTGAAAGAGTTTTAAAACGAACCTCAAGGAAAATATCTAAGATATTCGAGGAAAGATCTAAGTTCAGGATGTCGAATAAGGAAAATGAGAGCCCTTTTATCAATGAGACTTTTGTTAAGTTAGATGTGGAGGAAGAGACCAGAGACTGTTCGTTTGGAGAGACATTTCAATCATTGATGTGCACAGAACAGATTACCCATTGGTCTACTGCTAAGGTAGATATTATATAACTAATTTTTTAATAACATGGAGTGACATACAACCCCACAATCCATCTTATACTTATACTAAGACCTCTGACTGCCTCGTTGGTGCTGATCATGAGATCCTGGGTTCCAACCCCGAGTCTGGCCAAAAAAAAACAATTATTGAGTTTTTCCGTCAAGAAATTTTCAGTAGCTGCCCAGAGTCAGGAAGTTGGCGTTGAGTCACCCCTGTGCCTCAGAAAGCATGTAAAGCCATTGGTCCTGTGCCTGATCTCTTTCTGGTTGTGTTGGTTTACCATCCCATCGGATTATGAGAGTGAGGGAATAGAGAGTGCACCTGTGCTAGCACATACACTTGGGCACTATAATCCTGTCCTACACCGATGGCTAGACTCTGTTGAGGCTCACCGCTGTGATAGAAATTCCGGAGGAAGACACTACTAAGTACTCTATAGAAATCTATTCTAATCTAGTAAAGATAAATATCACTATAGTTTTTGCCCAAAAGCTACATAGTATATGGAGAGTCACTTAGACAGCTAAATTTTAATTTATTTGGCATGCCATCATCCTTCACCCACACATCCAGCTGCATTGATTAATTTAGCAGTGTTGTCACCCTCAATTAGTAATGCGGTCTCCCATCACTAGTCAGAAATTTGAGTTTAGTGCTTTTTGGACGGATTTTTCATCATCACTTATTGAAGAAGATGATAGTAGATTTATCAATGACCACATACATATGTAGTGAAAATGTTACATGGGAATCCAATATCAATATTAATATTCCCGCACAGAACAAGTATTCATATGGCCTACAAATAATTGTTCCCTACCTACTGTAAACTACCTTTATATTTCAGGAGAAAATCCTAAAAAAACTGAGTCCATATGTTTTAAATTTTTCCATATCCATTTGAAATTTTGTAATAATTTAAATCTTCTCATTACTTTCAGTTGGATTTTACTGATTCACTTCCACAAAAAACCTATGAGAGTGAAAACTTGAAAGAAGACATCAATGTACCCGAAAAAGACTTAGAACCCGATTTAGACCCAGATTTTGAAACCTTACATGATTTGGAGGAAGAATTCGATGCGGACAACTTCGACCAGTGCTCGAAGTACGAAATAATTTCCACAGACAGTCCAAACATAATATCTAGAGGACGGTCCACATCTAGAAAGATAAACTCTAAGAATTTTGTCTTTGGAGCACCATTGGTTGACAATGAAGCATCTACCTCCTTCAACAGACCAAATGCAAATGCTACCAGGATGTTAAACTTTGAAGAAGAAAACTTTGAATTCACATCACCGGCTGCTAAGCGACCTTCAACTACAAGCGTCTCCGTCAAAAAGTCTTTAAAATTCACAGAGACCCCCACAAAAATTTTAAAGCATGAAAAGAGTGATTCTAGTATTGGATCCATGTCATCACCCTGCTCAACTAAACTAAGGTTTCCCTCTGAATCCACAACATCCATGGAAAGTGGGTTTGTGTCGGAGTTAGAAGAACCTTTCTTAGAATTGGAAGAGATGTCAAATTCCCCCAAAATGCCCAATTTCAAAGAGCTACTCTGTGGTCCTATAAAAGATAATATTATCACAGATAAAGACTTCCTTCGAAGACCAACTTTGCATAGAAGTTTGAGTTTCAATCCGGAAGCATCTAAAGCAAGAGTGTCTCTTAACAAAATATCAGAAGGTCCAGAAAGTCCGAAGAAGTCGCAGAAACGGTCGGAGATTAGTGAGTTACAGAATGAAGGTAGTAAGAGAAGGAAGTCTAATTGTGAGAGTCCAGAAATGGAGAGGATACAGAGACCAGTGCTGCATAGAGCTTTTTCTGAAAATAATGCATCCATCATGTCCGCTTTAGCTAGATGTGAGTATTTTGTATATATATTAGTATTTTTGTATTGTTTATTATGTATTTAAATGTGGTAGAGCCATGCTGTCTTATGGTTGTAGTACGAATGGGTCGGGTCAACTGGGGAAGGACCACAGGTTTCGTGTGGTGTGTGTAGAGAACCGGAGAACCTTTTTACTGGAAACGAGGCATTCTATTTTGTCCTTACGGGTGACAACGCATCTACGTTTTGATTAGTAATCGTGGATAGATGTAGACGTCTATAGGCTGCAGCAACCACTTACCATCAAGCGGAATCACCGATACGTCACCAGTATGAAATAACGGTAACCCTATTTTAGGGGTATCATTATATTTTTGTATAACTTTTACATGACAGAATTATTAGTAACCAAAAATATCTGTTTGTGTATCCAATGGTATGTTACGCTACTAGGGAGGAAGATATGAAATCGCAATCCGCACGGTATTGTCACCCGAGCCTAAGGCGAGAGTGTTAAGAATGCGGGTTGCGATGTCATACTTTTCTTCCATTGTGCTTGTACAATTTTTTAACAAACCTTGATGATCAAAATGAATGTACCTTAAAATGTATTATGACATATATTTTTGACGTTAAAAAATAATAAAGCTAGACTAGGCAATGCACCACTTTCGTCCCTGAAAGTAAAGTCGAAATATGAGCTTTTCATCAAGGTATGATAAAAAGGTATTTGTTGTTTGATATTTAATTAAGGAATTCTAAGACAACATTGAAAATTATGGTAATTTTGAACCACAAGAAGAAAAGCTATAAGTTAATAATTAGGTAGCGCAAAAAATAACTGCTGCTATTTTTTGGTACCGTTAAATTTGTGTATCGGTATTTTAAGATATCGCAATAAAAGATATGAACGTCATACCTTTAACTTTTATAACCCATAATTTATCAGTTATGCAAGCCCTGTTTCAATTTCCCTTTGTCGCCTCTTAACACACCTACGAGCAAGGCAATCACGGCAAGTGAATCATCAATAGTAACTCTGATACTAGAAACCTAGAATTTGTGCTTTTACACAAATATGACACACTACACACACAATGATATCAAATTCTCGAAAGCATAATGGCCGGGTACTCTCACCATTAGACCCATAGAATACTATACTACATACATAATAGAACGGGGGAGTGGGCGGAGCCCGTGTAGCCACTAACATGGTAATTCACACGTTTGAATATCAAAACAATCAATCGTTTCCAATTTTCGTGTCAAGCATCGCTGCATGCAATTTATTAAAAAAAATGCAAATTGTGCAATAGTTACGTGTCGAAAGAACAGCGGGAAATGGAATTTAAATAAAGGAGACATATGCTACAACCACAAAGTTGAAACAATTTATATTTTGTGAATATTAGAAACAAAAATAAAGAAATATTTATATGTCATTAATCAAAAGTCTAAAATGCGTTTGTAGTAGTGATTAACTGATAATACGACGTAATTGATTGTATGTGTGCTGCCGGTGACGCCGAACCGCGTACAAAATAAGGTTGACAGCCATTCTATTGTGTATTATAGTATTCTATGATTAGACTTCATCAAAAAGTATTTACTGATAGTTTATAGAAATCAGTGTTACTTTGCGGGAATATTAAAACATGTGTATTGTCGATGGTGGTGTGTCTTTTCTAGGGTAGTGGTACTGTTGGTAGCCACTTGAGGAAGGGAGAAACATTCTCCTAAGCTAGGTAAAACACGACCACCTAGGTTTTAACATCTTTACTAATTAAATGTCACAAGTAATTTTACTTTCTTTTACAGCTTATGTCGATCCTGACCTCATCGGTGACTTCTCGCTACCATTTGCTCTGCCTCTGACATGCGGTAACCACTCCGATCTCAAGTCCATATCCTGCGACACGCTGGCCAATCTACTGAGGGGTGATTTTGAGCACAGCATCGGTGACTTTCAGGTGAGCTTCCATAGGATATACCCCTTATATATTTATGGATGTTATACTGGATGATGTTTTTACCGTCTGGGAAAAAGTAGGGTGTAACATGTGAATGGAGTAGAAGCCGAAGGCACCGATATTTAAAAAAAAAATAAAAACAAAATGTGATCACACTCTCACAGAATACGAACATGAAATATGTTAATGGTGTTGTGTTTCATAGTGTGAGTGTAGAGAACCGAAGAACCTTTTTACTGGATACAAGGGAATCAATTGTAGTCCTCAGGGGTGACAACGCATCTGCATATTAATTATTATCGAGGATAAATGTAAATGTCTAAGGGCCACAGTATCAACTTACCATCAGGTGGACTGTGCGCTCGATTGTCACCCTTATTCTATAAAAAAAAAACTGTCAGTAATCAAAAATATTATCTTATTTTCAGGTAATCGACTGTAGATACCCATATGAATACGAAGGAGGTCACATTCTTGGCGCAGTCAACTTATATACACCTGCGCAAATACTGACCCTCGTAAGCAAGCCACTGAAACCCAAAGAACTTCATGAAAAACGAAACATTCTTATCTTCCACTGCGAGTTCTCTTTGGAAAGAGGGCCAAAACTGTGAGTATTTATGGAATTAATCATTTCTGGTTTTGGTCTACTCAGAAGACCACGGTCTATTCAATAGACCAATACTTAATTTATACATGCAGTTTCATGTGTCTAATGTAGTTTATTTAGGCTGTAAGTTTATATATTTGAATTAGTTTTTCATTGTATAGTTAAATTAATTTCGCTAATTTGGAAAATTTTGTCGACAGATCACGTTACCTCCGTACCAACGACAGAGCTAAGAACAAAGAGAACTACCCTTCTCTTCATTACCCTGAAATATACCTTCTACATGAAGGCTATAGAGCTTTCTATCAGCGGTATCCCGACTTGTGCTCACCAGCTGGATATACGGCCATGTTGGATCCGCAACACAGACATTTGTTAAAACAGCACAGATCACTTCTGGAGACATCGTCTTCTGTTCATCACAAGCGGAATCGTCTGCTTCTTTAGCTTTAAACTTTAAAGTGCAATCGATAGTAAGTCCAGGGTTTAATTATACGCAAATATAGTGTTTAATAATTCGGTCTATTCAAAAGACCGTGGAATTCGGAATATCATGTTCGCTTGTAGAAAAATTATGTTTTAGTTTATATTTCGCGGAAAATCTTTTGGTCTACTCAGTAGACCGTGGACTACTCAAAAGAACGTGGACTACTCTGAAGACCGTAGTCTACTCAGTAGACCTTAATAGTTTCATTTGGAGCCGTACAGATGTTCTACTCAAAATATTGAGTTTAAATTAAGACATTGGACCAGTTCGTCCAAAGCGGCGTAGGAAATAATAATTTTAGTCTATGGAATAGTCCAGAAGCTATTTGGAGATTTCTAATTAGATCGGAGGAAATAAAAAGTACTGAGAAAGCATTTTATTATAATTTTAAAGGTTTAGTTATAAATGTAATTTACAAAACTATATGCCATACTAATATTAACTTAAGTTATTAGTACAAATATTAGATTAAAAGCAATATCCCACCTTTTAAATATAATTTTCGTATGCCATTTTAATAATGCTAAGTATTTTAGAATATTGAAATGTATTTAGGAATATTATACGTTCGGTTTTTGATCAACGAAGGGACTAATCAAGTCATAAATGATGCAAGGTTATAATCAAAGGCATTGTCGTCAGTGAGCTGAATACGGCATGTTCTATGAAACTGATTAAGAAATTGTTGAAATTAAACTTAAATATTTCAATATTCAATTTCTAAATTACGACATATAAAGTAAGTTAGGGCGTCTACTTCAATAAATAAAACTTAGTTATGATATTTAGTTCACAAAAGAAATATAACTAAAAAGACACAGATTCAATGAATTTCTGATATCTAAATAAAACCAATTTGAAATTTTGTACATAAAAATCTATTTCTAACATTAACCATTTACTAATAACGCTGCCCAATTTTAAGACGTCGTTAAGAGCCTATACTACTCAGTTCAAATTCTAATTTCGCCAAACTTCTCCGCGCCACTCGTTCTAACACTACTGCCCGCGGTCACGCGCGAACATAAAGCGATTTTTAGTATAAGTTGACCCCTCATTGTACGAAAAGCTTATACAATGCGGGATCAGCTTATACTGGAAATACTGCTTTATCTAAATAAAAATGTCTGAAATAAATAGTCGTCTCTCTGTAATATCGCCAAACATAGGTTCGTCCCGCAACAGATGCCGCGTCAGACTGATTGAACAAATTGAAAAGGATAGCGCTATTATATTTATTTTATATATTACCTAGCGTAAAACAAGAGACAGAAAGAGTGTGCTTGCTTAGAATAAAATAACGCAAGCGCCAAATCACATAATGGCGAATTACGAGAAGATATAACATAATAACGTAGATAAATAAAAAAATTATCGTCACGATTTGAGATAATATTATTATCTATCTATTACGTTAAAATCATCATTCAATTCCGTTAGGTTTCAGAGATCTAACTCAAAATAAAAAGTGCAAAACGAGGATTTTTTTTCTTTTTTTTAATCGAGAATTTTTAATCGAATTCGTGTTTTCGCTTTAACAGATTTTAAGATTATAAGTCCAAGTTTAATGTGTCCAAATGGCAAACTCTTAGGTCTTATAGATACCGAGATCCACATCGCTTAATATCATCAAAACGGTATCATATGGATTCTTAAGTCGCGTGGTATCACGGTCACTTTGACTTCAAAGTGATGAGACGGCATGAGACGTTAACGACATCTTAAAATTGAACAGCATTTAAGAATATGAGCATTATAGTTTTTTTTTATAATTTAACGCATTGCTACAGACAAAAGTATCGTTCGAACATAATCCCAAGTATTTGCTGAATTTTGAACGAAAACCATTTAATTTTAGGAACATGTAAATTTTAAGCTTTAACTCTTCACACTGTGTGCCGTTTTTAAACCCAAGATAGTTTAAGACTTGTAAATAATTGTATAAATTAAATGATTATTACGGAATGTGAACAGCCTGTATATAGTTTTGCGTTACGGCTGTCACCCCAAATTAAGTTGCATTTAACTAGCATAAAAAAAATTATAAGATTTAAGTTTGAAAAATCGTCAACATGTAACGACTACTCTTTTGAATCTGTTCCTGATCTTTTGAACTGAAACAGAGTTAAAAAATCCACATCATATTTAAATACACTCGAAATCATGAGGCTTTGTGGTCTATTACTTCAAACTTTGGTCTCATAATAAAAAAAGCAGACTGATTTTTATCATAGACGAATTTCGGTTTCTGGCCTCTATGTATATAAGTTTATGTAAAACATAAGGTCACAAACATGCTTAGATTTAGTTTTCCAGGTCGAGTATTAGTTTCGTTAATAATATCGCGTTATACAAAGCGATCTACAAAGACATCGAAATATATTGTACTATAGATAGGATAGACCTTACAAAATATTGATAATTTTTTACTGCCGGTAATTTTACCTCATTACTTCGCCATTGATAACACAAAAAAGCCTTTTTAACCATTGACCATTATCAAAATTTTAGCCGCTCGATTACAATAGCTTTTATCTTTTTCAAAAAAAAAAAAACGTGCGCTTAAAAGGTGCCAAAACACTTTGTCAAAATTTTTGGCGGGAACTACCGCCGGTGAATTGTTGCTCCTATATTATCGTTTAAATAATAGTTTGAAGTGGATTTTTAATACGTAAAGTTGTGAAATTTTATGTCTTAAACATATACGCACGTGCAATTTTATTGAAAAGGATGTTGCTATAGTGCTTCGATGGTGATCTAATTCTTAAGATTATTTTATCCGTTTGGGCGGCTTAAGATACTATCGTCATCAACTGTCCGGTAGGTTAAGCTGTCGTCAAAATTTCCCAAAAACTTCTCAATGTGACGCATCAGCATATTGTGAAGAATTTTGTGAATAAAAAACGCATCAGACTAGGTTGTATGGTTTAGGACCTTTGCCTGCCTGAATTTCCAAAATTGTAACAAAATCATTGAGGTGCCATTATTGCAAGAATCATGGAGTATAGAGGCATGGAGAACTAACTCTATATAAAAAAATGTCCGTAGGAAAGCGCTACATAAGGGGGTCGCCATTGTAGCTAGAGGGTAAATTTTAAAGTACTTTTTGTATTTTTTTATGGCACATACTGGCACCATAATTCTTTTTATAATAATTATTGTATTGTTTTCAAAATCACTCAACGTGTTTCACGGCGACTTTTGCTACGTTATTTTTACTAAATTATTTTAGACAGCGAGAGTAGTTGTTTTAAATACTGCAGTTTAAGCACACTTCACTCCGTCGACAACTGCTAAGTTCATTTAATACCCTCTAGCTACTCCAGCGCTGTTGTGGAGAGTTTTTAAAATGTTATTTACTGCTTAGAGTGACACTTTTTCAACTATTCTTCTATCTAACCATCTCAGGTTCTCCTCACCTTTATTCTCCATGGCAAGAATTGTTTGGATATTTTTAATGTATATAAAATTTGTTGTGCCGTAAATATGTAATCGAGCCAAAAATTGAGTTTCGTAGTTGGCGTGTAAAAATTTTATATTATTTTTATGGCAATATTAACTTTACGCTTCGATATAATTGTTATGTTAGTTGAAGTAAAAGAATTTTTATTATTTTTTTTTATTTAACGGAAAGAAATTATGACTAACTTTTTTTTAAGCAAAGTTCACATATATTCTATTGATTAAGTTAATTTTAAAATTCATGGGACCGTTTAAGCATTCGAGGTACACGAACTGAATCCGGAAACATCCGTAAACAAAATCTTTGTGAGAAAAATGTGTACTAATTCGGAAAAAAAATGCAAAATATTTTTCATGCATAATTATCTAATGAATTCATCGTTTCGCACACTTGTTTGCATCAACGGTCGAGTCTACGAGATTTTTCGAGCACCCTCGTGAAATTTACGCTTATTAGATTTATGTGGTTCTGTATATAATTTTAATTTCTAACATAGGTTTTGCTTAGTTAAAAATATTTGAATATTATGATACTATTAACCACATTTCCTTTGAACGTTTTCTTTAGTCTTACAATCGGATGTGGAAATTTGAGTGCATCTTATTTTATGACAGATATGTGCCGCTATAACTTTTTATGCTGTGTTCTAAAGCTCGCGGGTTTAGGCAAGTTGACGTTTTACAATCGTTATACGATAATAGAAAACTATAAAAAGGAATTAGAATATAATCTGGGCTTACTTAACATATTAGCATGGTATAGCAGCTATTTTACTGTATCAAATAGCAGAAGAACTACAACTCGGTCACATTATCTCTGCACCTCGCTCGATGATGTCGCATTCACTGTACGGTGTGCTAAATAAGCATCTCTAGAAATATGACATTTTTTTAGCAATTATGTATAGTGATAATAATTAATAATATACTAGTCGTTATCACTGTAAATAACAAGATGCTAATCATACTGACGCGATAGGGGCGAGTGCGGTGTGGTGAAGGGGGACGCGAGAGGGGCATCGCATTCCAGCGAGGTGCAGAGATATTGTGACCGTGTTATATGTAATAACATCGCCCACTCCCATGAGAGTTTTGTGTTCTTTGTAGGAAAAACCAAGCAGGGGATTATCTAAACAGCTTGAACTACTTATTGAACTTGAACTTCATGTGCGTTTCGGTGCGGTCGACCTTTGGATGTGGTTCAACATGCACATGCGCAGTGTGCGTGCCTACGGAGCGTTCAGCTGCTAGCACACAGTGTGACTGTGTGCTAGCAGTGTCACCCGTCAATTGCAAGAACTATAACTCTAAAGACAGCTTTAAGTTGTACAACGTAACAATATTCTTTTTTACTGTTTTCTATATGCGTTTACGATTGTAGAAAATCAACATGGCTGAGTCTGATGAGCTTTACAATTTTCAATTGATATATTTCTTTCATCAATTATGGTTTCCTTCCTTTACATTTTTATTGATTTGTGGCGGCGCTGTCGTCGCG